AAGAAATGGTGGTAGTATTTTTTGAGGATAAAAGGGTTGTAATTTCAGGTTTGGGGGCTAAAGATGGAGGGGTGTTGAAATCAAGAGTTCACGATGATCCTTAGGTCACTCTTAAGGTAACTTCAACTCAATGGACTCTTCAAGGAAGTAAGCTTAGAAGACTCGCTTTATGGGACTCAGCTTCTACAGGGAGGCAGGTGACAAACTGGTTTTTCCAAAGGTGTAAAAAGTTATTCAAGAAAACTAATGATATGGAAGAAGTAAATTCTCTTTAGTTCTCTTTTCAAACTTCAAAATCCCCTTTGAACATCAACCAAACCAGCTGCTGTTTGTCAGCTGGCCTATGTTCCCCAGGCCTTCTGGGTTCCAAGTGTCCACCTGGAAGTGAGCATGCTAACAGTCCATACCACCCAAGGACTGCCATTTTAACGAGGGGCTGTAGGAATGTTTAACCTGGGCCTTTCGTGATCAGGCTATATGTGTGATTCCTGATCATGCAGGCCGAATGTGGGAGAAGCCAAAAGGAGAGGGCTGATTTATTCTAACAGCATTAAAACTCAAACCAGGTCCACTGAGGTCAAGTGTATTCCAACTCATAGCAACCTCCAACAGGTATCTGAGGCTGTAAATTTTTACAGAAGAGGACTGGCCTACTTTCTCCCATGGCACAGCTGTCCAAAAGAAAACACTGGCCTTTTGGTTGACAACACAGCAAGAAAATACTGTCTCTACAGGCTAAGATGCAAATAAGCATCATGTGCAGCTCAAACATAAAGCCTATGGTTGTCCAGATTTTAATCCAGAAGGTCACTACCACACGCCTCCTTTCACCACCATAACCAGGTTTCCATTCCAGGTATTCCCTGGAGAGCAGTCTGTAGGATATCTGGCAGATGTCTAGTTAGTGTTTATTAACTCATTCATTGCTGTTGAGTCAGAACCGACTGATAGCTGACCCTTCAAGTGGATCTTCAAGAGGCTGCAAAGTATGCGGGAGGCAATTACCCGTCATTTTTGCCTGCGTGAACTACCAAAGAAGTGGTGCCTTAAAGTTAGCTGCACAACTGGACTACACCAATGTCTTTACTACTGACACTTTCAAACCACATTCCACTTCGTGGATACTGTGAAATCTCCTCCCTGAGTCTGGTTACAAAGTGTGATACTTAGATGTATCATTTTTAGCAAGAGAGATCATTAAACTTTTCTTCTAGCTCTGGTGATACAGTGAGTAAGTACTTGGCTGTTGAAGGGATGGTGATTCAAGCTTATGTTTAAAGATGTGGCTGTTAGCTTCTCTAAACTTTCTTAAGCAGTTCTACTGTCTTATGGATTTACTATGGGTCCAAACTGGCTATATGGCAATGTATTTTGGGGTTTAACTTTCTTCTGACAATTTAAACCAACTAAACCCATGTATATTCAATGTTGTTGTTATTACATGCCGTCAAGTCAGAACTGACTCATAGCTGATCCTCTAGTAGGTTTTCAAAGGCTATATATATTGCACAGAAGTAGACTGCCTATATTTCTCCCATGAAGCAGCTGGTGGATTCAAACTGTCTTTGGGATGGCAGTGTAATTCTTTACCACTAGGCCACTAGTGCTCACTGCACTTGACATACAACTGTTACATTGTATACTAAAAAGGTAAGGATGGAAGAACAGCTCTAAAAACAAGAAAAACAAAAACAAACCAATACTGTCATTATGTTAAAATATGCATCTCTATTTCCAAATCTTCAAGAATCAAAAGGAATTGTTACTTTCGCAAAGAATACAGTAATACTGCATACTTAATAGCAACTGGAACACTGCTACCCAGAATTTCATGCATGTGGTTATCATAATTGTTTTCTCTCTTTTGGGTTCCAGATTCTAGAGTACATATGTTTGAGTGAAAGAAGTAACTAAGATTTACAAGTTGAAAGGAGAAATGAGGGTTCGGTAGCAGAATTCTTATCTTTCGTGCAGGAGATGCAGCTCCAATTCTCAATGCATTTTAAGTAAAGCTACCACCTGTCTGTTTAGTAGAAGCTTGTGTTGCTATGATACAGAACACGTTTCAGTAGAGGTTCCAGAGCAAGCCAAACTAGGAAGAAAGGCCTGGTGTTCTTCACTTGGAAAAATCAGCAAGTGAAAAACCATAGTTAAAAGTTGTTGTGCATGGGGTCAATGTGAGTGTGAAGTAGCTGAAAACAAGAATTTATCACTGGAAGTTCTAGCTGTCATTACCAGGTCAACTGGACATACTCACTTAAGGCCTAATGGGTAACAAGCTGTGCTGCCAACCCAGAGGGAGACAGAGTGAAATTATCAGCTTTTCCTGGGGAGAAAGATAGGAAATCACTTCTCATGATTCACGCCTTTTGAAAACTCACTGAAAGGTCAGTTATAAGTTGGTTATGACTCGCTAGCATTTAACAACTGCTAATTAAGCTCATTCCATTTACAAATTATCAGCCTGCTCAATCTTAAAAATACTATTTCTTCTAAAGTTTAAGTAATGTAATTATCTAATTTTCCTTGTAGAAAAAGAATAAAAAGCCTTATTTTGAAAAACCATAAAAATTTTTATTGTTAACAGAAGTCAAAATGACAGAAAATCACATTAAAAATAAAAAGTATCATGATAGTACATATTTACTGGGACTTTAAAAAATAATTTGCAAACAAAACCTCCCACAAATAAACAAGAAAATAATGTTAACTGCACCATTTTACATATATATTACTTAGACACTAAAACCAAATGTTAAAATACTGCCATTGAGTCGATTCAAACTCACAGTAACACGATAGCAGAGATGAAAACTGTACATTGGGTTTTTAAGGCTGTAAATTATTCTCCCAAAGTGGATCTAAATTGCTTTTTGTTTAGCAGTTCAGTGCTTTTACCCATAGTATTACCGAGACACCAGTATACACACTAAAATGAAAAAAAAATATCCAGGGTAATATTGCAAAACAGTACAAATTCTGACCTATTATTATTTGATGGAACTTGATTTAACAGTCTCAATTATAAATCCTTATCTTTGGGGTCTAGTGGAAGTGCTACCAACCCAAAGGCACGTGGTTTGAATTCAATAGTGTCTCTGCATGAGAAAGAAGAATAATCTCTTCCTGTGTGATTACAGCCTCTGACTGAATAATTGCTGGAGGATTAGCTATGAGTCAGTTCAGACTCAATGGCATATAACACAATCTTTCAAAATTGTAAAATTGCTTATGGATGATAAATTATATCGCTTAGCTTTTCATTTCTCTCACCAAATCTACAACACATGCCCATGTCCTAAATGGTAAAGAGTTGTGTTGCTAACCCAAGGGTGCACAGTTTGAATCCACCAGCTGTTCCAGTGGGCAATCTTTTTCTATATGATTTATTGCCTCTAAAAACTCTGAAGATCAGCTATACGTCAGTCTGACTCGGTGGTACATGACAATATTTATTTACTGTTTATCAGCATTAGTTCAAAATATCTATCATCTCAACTTAATCAGCTCACATTTAGTTTCTCCTCAGTTTTCATAGAAATGTTAAAACTCACATATTACAAAGCCATTTTTTTCAAAATTAGCCTATCAATCTCATTTCTAATTTATCTTCCACATTCTCTTTTATTTTCTATAGATTTCAAACCAATGTATTTTTACTTGAAAAATACTGTTGTTGTTGTTGTTATGTGCCGTTGAGCTGCTTGCAACTCATAGCGACCCTATATACAACAGCCCTAAACTCTGCTCTATCCTGTGCCAATTGCATTGCCTCTGAAACACCCATTCCGATTACCCCAGTCACTAAATCAATCCACCTCATAGAGGGCCTTCCCCTCCTGCGCTGTCCCTCTACCCTACCAAGCATGACGTCCCTCTCCAAGGACCTGTCTCTCCTTACAACATGTCCAAAGTATGTCTAACAAAGCCCCAGAATCCTTGCCTACTAAAGCATTAATACATATACAATTTCTGACAAAGTTATCATTTATTTACCAAGAAAAAAATTAACTTTTAATTTAAAAATTTAAGTATTTCTATTGTTATTATGTTATTGAGGATGATGACTTCATTTGAGAGGGTTTAATATGTTCAGTATTACACAGGGTTCAATATAATACAATTAAAAAATAAACAGATCAAATTATAATTTATCTGGAAAAAGAAGATACATTGTCTGATTACCTTGAGTATTTTGCTAATTGTGTCAAATTTGTTTCCATAAATTGTACAAAAGAAAGCTTTAATTTTTGTATGAGGCTTCAATTTTCATTTAAAATGTATTTTTGCCACTTAAAATAATTTAAAGATGTTCACAAAATACAGCTGTACTGTTTAAGGCAAGTGCAAAGGGCATTTTAAAAGGTAGTAAACTTACCAACTAAAGCGGTCTCCCAATGGAAAAAAAAGAAATCATGACAGATAAAAAGCAAAGCAAAACAAAAAACAGGTGTAAATAGCATTTTAGCTTTAGATAATCTATTTAAGAATAAGGTGGAACTGTTCACTTTCAGGTTTCAGCACCAAAAGAAAAAAAAATTAGTAATTTGGAACTACTGATTGGAAAATCAATTTGCTATGTAAACTTTCACCTAAATCATAAAATGTTTAAAAAATAATTTACAAGAGAAAACAATAACTTGGCAGCTGAACTGCCTATAGTCATAACACATAATCACTTGAAAAGAATAAGCAACAGATACAGACTCAATGACATACTTTTAATCTTTTATAAGTCTTACTAAGTTGGTACCTAGTGGCAATTAACAAGATGTTTACATCTAGTGTAAAAAGATTTAGAACATAAAATGACACTAAGTAATGAATATAATTTTTCTATGCCATGCAGAAGTCAACTTTATACACATCATCACTCTTATTAAACAGTTGTCATTAAAATCCAAACTGTTGCCATTTTTGCATCATTGTCATTCTTTGGCAAAAGATTCAAAATAGCCATAGGTTAGGAAACAGCTGTTCACTTTCATGGTCCTCATTTCTGCAAAATAAACTTGTTTTGTAAAAGGAATCTGCATTGTGCCAGGCTGAATATGAAATAAGCAAAAATAGTATGACCATTGTCTAATCGACTCCTAATGCTTTGAGTTGCCTTTCAATCTCTTCATCAGATATTGTTGCCTTTGAAGTGGAGGCTGATGGCAAACTTCTGGCAGCTGATGGAGCTTTGGCCATCTATATGAAAGAAACAAAGAGAATTTTTAAAAAAGCAACATCAAGTGTTTAGACTGGGACCTATCATGAGTTGGAGAAGACAGCAATAAGAAGCATAACTTACTTTAAATGTACCCAACATTAAAAAGCAACTAAGTGACAAAAGAGGTAGAAATTATTTTGAAGGCAGCAAAGATGCTAATACCTTTCCAGAGATTTCAATTCCAATTTCATCCAGGACTTGGTTCACAATATCCTGACTTTCTTCTTCATCATCAGAGTCATCAAAGATGTCATCAAGTGTATCACTGACTTGGGAAAGGAAACAAAGTAGTTATGTGCAAATGAGTTTCACGTTAGATTTACATGTTTTTAAGACAGCTCAATTGTGAATATATTTTATGTAGTAAAGAAGGGAAATTTAAAGGAACAAAAAACCACTATGAAAGTCTTTTGCAAACTGCAGTAAACATATTTGAAGTACAAAATAAGGAATAATGTTAATTTCAACACAAATTATAACAAAAAAAAAATCTACTCTATTTTTTAAAAATCCCTAATACTTTTATGATTGGAAGCAGGAGTGGCATCCACTTCCTAAACAACATGCCTCTGGAAACTCTATGAACTTTGATAAATGACGATAGCGATAGAAAGACTTCAGGCCTTTTGTTTATAGTCACTTTGAGTCGTGCTTGACTTGATGGCAATCAACACACACACTTTTATGAAGCTTTGGTGGCCTAGTGGTTAAGAGCTGCACTGCCATCCCAAAGGCACAAGGTTCAAATCCGGCAGTTACTCTGTGGAAGAAAGATGAACACTCTCCTCCTGAGCAATTAACTGCCTCTGAAACCCCACTAAAAGGTCAGCTATGACTCAATTCTGACTAGATGGTATACCACCATGGTATCTTTATGGTATCACAGCTACAATCTTATAATCTTAATGTATGATTCCAAAACCTTTTATCCATTGATCCAGCAGCTGTGATACCTGACGAGAGAGGTTATACAAGAAATATACAACCTGTTAACATTTAGGAGACAGTTTACTGATATTCTATCTATAACCTTATTTTTAGCCTTCAAAATATTACATTAAAAAAGATCATGTGTTTATAGCCTCTGAAGACACACTGAAGGTTCATCTATGAGCCAGTTCCAACTTGAAAGCACCAACAACATGCTAGAAAGTGGGCTGTTGGCTTTTTTTTTTCACTGTGTGTGCTTCATGAATGAGACCATGAAGTTGCTCATAAACAAATTTGCTAATTCAAAGGTGAGAAAACAATATGTTCCACTCATTAAACTTACTCATTTCTTCAGTCATTTCCATCTTCATGTTTTCCTTCTGGAAATTCTGCATTGTTTGCAATGTCTTTTGTGGATCCATTTTCTTGTTAACTGCTTGCATTGTCTTTAAATAAATGAAAAGATTCAAGTTATCTACATAATTATGAAAACTTTACTAAGAATTAAGTTTAAAGGGAGCAAAAATGTAGAGACATGCTTTAAAAAGATATAAATCCTTCCATGAAATTCCAATAACTAGGAATTTTAAGCAGTCAGTTGGAAACCATTTAGTTAACATCTATTTATATGATACAGACTAGTGTAAACCCTCTCATCTGAACAGTAGTAAAAAATCATGGAATTAAACTGCAATTCAAAAGGGAAAATGAAATTGACCTATTAAGTGGCATGTAAGGTTTTTTAAATGCCTAAATTTCAACCAAGATGAGAGGATATAATGACATACAGATAAATCAACCAAAACATCTCAAACAGTGGTTTAAAATTTGGGGCTAAAAAACAAATTTTATAAAATTATATGAAAAGAATTGTTATAGCACTGATGGCCTAGTGGCAAAAAGCTGTGCTTCAATCCCAAAGGCACAAGGTTCGAGGTCACCAGTTGCTCTGCAGAAGAAGGATGGGCAGCCTCCTCCCACGCAATTAACTGCCTCTGAAAACCTGCTGGAGGGTTCTATACACAACAACAAAAACAACATCTCATATTATTTCACATAAGAGATAAATGGCATCATCTATTTTAGCATACACGAGTCTCTGAAAAAAAGAAAAAGAAGAAGAAAAAAAAGTCTGTGGATGGGGTAAATAATTAGACACTCCACTACAAGTTGAAAGATTGGTAGTTTGAACCCATGCACAGCAGCTTGGGAAGACAGGCCTGGGGATCTGAAAGGTCACAGCCTCAAAAAAGTCATAGAGTTGTTCTACTACGCACACATGGGGTTACACAGAATCAATTAAATAGCAACCAATAACAATGAGAAATTTGGCTTACATATTTTTACATACACATATACAGAGATAGCAACTTCATATATTAGAAAAAAAAATAATACAACAAATAGCATTAGTTTCAATGAGATGAAGCATTTTTCTTCAATATGCATGCACAAGTAGATTGATACTGCAGTTAATGGTGTATTTTCAAATATAACACTATACTGCTTTTATCATTTCTAGACTTCCTCCTTCACATACCCAACCCTCCAAAGGCTTTCCACTGATCTTAGTGTTAAAAGCCTGATTTTGTAATGTAATGAATAAGACATATCATAGACTGAATTCACAATTTGCACCACTGCTATGCTGGTCTTCCATTTCCCTATATGTAAAATATTCTCTCCTACCAGTGACTGGGGTACTCGGGATGGGTTTGTCAGAGGCAATGAGGTTGGCACAGGATAGAGCACAGTTTAGGGCTGTTGTACATAGGGTCGCTATGAGTCACAAACGACTCGACGGCACATAACAACAACAACAACAACAACAACAACAACAACGGACATTTGCTTATGGCAGTCCCTTACCTCCAATGCTCTTCTATCTATTTCACTATTTATCCACACTTCATATTGCAGTTTATGTACCTCTTAGTCAAGTCATGTCTTATTAGCCAGATTAGAATAAGCATCCCTGTTCAAATAGTATTCCACTTAATAGGTATCACTTGAGCAGTAGTGGCTTAGTGATAAGGAGTCGTGCTTCTCGTACAACAGCCTTCTGGTCTAGGTTTCGCATAAGCACAATTAAGTGCCCTGGGATAGCCATTCTTCTCAAGGTTAGCCATAACTTGTTATGATACACACAGTAAAAAGCTGCTGCATAGTCAGACATTTTCTCTGATATTTTTTACTTTCAGCCAGGATCCATCTGCTATCAGTAAAGATATCCCTGCTTCCACGGAATCTTCTAAAGCCTGCTTGAACTTTTGGTGCTTCTCTATGTACCATTCTAGTTATTTTTGAATGATCTTCAACAGTATTTTGCTTTGATTGGTATCAAGGTTTTGTTTTTTGGGTTTTTTTTAACAGATAAGGGAAGTTTGCCCTTAAAATATTAAAAAAAAATTTTTTTGCTCATTACTGTAACTGCTTAGCTATGAAATAACTAAGATCTATTAAAAGTAATTTAATGGAAAGTAAAAAAATTATACTGATACTTTTTCATATGTCTTAAAGAAAATAAGGTGTCGCTATGTGTTTACTTATTCAGCAGTTCAGTTCGTGTAGTTGATAGGGAATTGGGCTGCTATTTCCTTTAAGGTTTACATCTACCAGAGGTAGTCTGAATCTATCAGAGATGACTTCTCTGTCAGAGAAAACCAGGCATTTTCCTTCCATTCAATTTATAGCCTCTGGAACCTCCAAGAGGGTTATAGCTATGAGTCAGTTCCAACTCCATGATAATGAGTAAGTTAGAATCTGATTCACTTCTGGTTCTTGATAAGATGGATATATGCTATCTGCATGTGTTCAATAGACTAAAATAAGTGATTCCATATCACTTTCCTATATAACCCTCATAAAGTTCTCTCTTCTGTTGCTTCCCCCCCCAACTGCTCTATATATCGATACTACTTGCTTTCCTATATCTCCAATCTAGTCTCATATTTTAATACTTAGGGCTTCTGTAGTCTTTTTATGTCAACCTATATTTTTTTTTAAATAAAGCCCTCAAATTGAGTGCAGTCAAATTAGGACCAACTCACAGCTGACCCTCCAGCAGATTGTAAACTATACAGGAAGAGATTGCTCTTTTTTCTCCAGTAGAGCAGTTGTGGTTTCAAACCATCCGCCCTTGGGTTGGCCACGCAACTCTCTAGCAATCAGGCCATCAGAACTCTCTCAACCTTTTCAAAGATCTGTGTAAATCTACAAAGCAGACTGGCATACAATGAGTGGGGTTTTTTTGTCAGACATAATTTAACTTCACGAAATAAACTAAGATTCTTGAGGGAAAGGTTCATTGCCTTTGTCTTTCTGTTCTCTCCCAGTACTAGATACGTAACAATTCGCTGATTTTTTTTTAATTTTGAGATAAAAAAATCTGATAGCCCTTGAATTCTACAGTGAAAACATTATTTATATTAGGTAAAAGTTCCTGATAGATATCAGCAGAAATTTCCCTCTGACATAAAAAAAAAAAAGAGTAAAAATTTATAGCTAACAAAATAAGAAGCAACCAAAACCTGACAACTTAAACAGAAAAAGCTACTATATTGAGCAACTAGAAATTAGTACCTGGATTTTCTCATTTTACTGAAAAATACATAGATTGGATGCAATATTTATTATAGGAAGCACTTTTACATTTTATTTGAAGATCATTAGCAATATATGGACATTAAGGCTGCTACTTACTTTTGCTGTAGCAGACATTGCTCCGGCCATTTTCATTTGCGAATTCATCAACTTTGTTTGTGTGGACATGGAAGTGACTTTTGAACTCACAGCAAAAGTTCTTGTTTTCTGTTTCCGCAAATGAACAAGCTGTTTGGCTAAAACTCTACATGCTTCTTTATTACCAATCTTGGCCATTTTCTTAATTTCTAATTCCTGATAAATAAATAAAGATAAGAAAATAGAATGACAATATGAGTAGAAGAATGTATCAGACACAATGTACATATAAATGAAACACAACGTACATGAATTTTGTATACAAACAAAATAATTTTTAAAAAACGCTTTATATCTATAAAAGACAATAACAACAAAATACAATTATTTATACAGAGTAGATTGGTTCTGGGATTGGGGTGGTGGGATTGAGTGTGTTGGCACAGGATAGAACAGCGTTTAGGGCTCTTGTACATAGGGTCACTATGAGTCACAAGCGACTCGACAGCATGTAACAACAGTGTCCAGTGACTTATTTCTAAAGAACAGAAACTTATGGGGTCATCATGAGTTGGAATGTACCTGGGGGCAACTAGGTGGCTAGTTGAGTAGTTACATAATCTACTAACTTTACCCCGATAATAAAAACAGGAAGAAGGCTTTTATGATGTCATAGAGACAGAATATTTTAAGGGGGTAATCTATCCCACTTTTACAGGGGAGGGAGAATTACTACCTACTCTTGTACGACCACTTGGCCAACTGACTGCAAGAGATCGATATTTGTTCCTATCCCAAAGAAAGGCGACCCAACCGAATGTGGAAACTACAGAACAATTTCAC